CTCACACAAATCACAGAACATGAGTGGATGAGATGTAAAGAAAAGGACCAAGATAGCCAGTTAGTTGTAGAACGTCAGTACTGTCGGTCAGTGTCGTGCAATGTTATCGAATGAGCTGATTGCCAGCGGCTACCCATTACATTGGTGGCAGCGGTGTAGTTTTAAATAAAACAACGTGATTCGACCCCAGACCCCCATGGCTCAACCCGCTGCAGCTCCCTGCGACGAATCAAGGGAGGGTATTCCCCAAGACCAGCAGCGTTTGATTTTCCCCGGCACGCAGTCGGAAGCAGGAGCCCACTCTTCACTTTGGTACTTCGCCTCCGTGGTGGAATGCAGATTTTCGTCAACACTCTTCCTGGCTAGACCATCACTCTTTACGTCACGCAAAGCGATGCTATCGACAATGTGAAGACCACGATTCAAGACGAGGAGGGAGGTCATTTGTCTGACGCCGAGCTAGCCGCTCTGAGTGACCGGCTCAACCAAGATGAAGATAAAACGTGGCTTGCTCTCCGCCGTAGCTCCAGCCGCCGCCGTGGTTACTAACGCTGATTCCAGGTATGGCATTTTCTTTCCTGTCTTCCTTCAGTCTCCCTGTTCTTTTCAGTCTTCCTTTATGCGAGTGTGTGAATCCAGTTTAGTTTGGTAGGCGTCTGATCATGGTGAGCCACGGCTTACCCAGCTAACGTGGGACAATGTGTGTGACAACGCCCCTTATAGGTATAGTGTATTCAGTTCGGTTTTTGACCTGCGATGTTCCTGGCGGGTTGTGCCAGCGTTGTGCAGCAAGAGTGCTGTGGATTTTCAGGTCCAATTTGGAGAACAGTTCTTTCCCCTTTTGACCCCGTGAGATCGTGTGAACCTGGTGTGCTTCTACTTTATGATTTGTTATCAGTTCATTTCTTCTGTCTACTCTAAACGTTATCATTTCCGATATAATTTGCCATCTTCCGGTTGACGCTGTGTTCGTAACTCTTCACTAATTTTTTGAAAACCACGAGGGCGTGATAATCTGTAGGAAGGGAGGGTGTAGTATCCCTGCCCGACCAATACGGAAGCAGTACGGAACTAATACGGAGCTTGCCTGATGTATATTTAGTGTATCTCCGTATGTAAGCGTACGTCGTCTGCTGCATAAAAGCGGCTGCGCATTTCTGTTTTGATGAAGAGAAGATTAGATTAGATTGGATAGCAATGAAAGCTAACTCGAAGAATAAGGATTCAGCCTCTAGGTGAGCACCGGAGAGAAAGTTATTTATTTTGCCGCTTCTTCTTTCACTAACGATTATATCTCAGGTGTGTACCTGAAAGTAGAATAAAAGTAATTGTTGTTGATTTCACCGCGCCTACCACTCGGCTACCCATTACACCAAGTAACTGGTGGGGCTAGTGGACAATATAGCGTAACTTGTACGTTGTACTTAGTTCCTATTCTTTACTATAAATTCATTGTGAAGAAGAGGTTGGTGCGACTTCGGAGATACTTGGGGAATTGTGTGTCGCTCCCTACATGGGAGCTCGCGCTATTCCTGCCGACTTAAATTTTCACTTGACTGACTCACGACTCCCATCCAGAGCACACGAGAAGTCCATCGAACCGTCCACTCAGCAAACCTGCAAGAAAGCAGCACTCCCTGATCAATACACAGTGTTTCGGGGAATTAAAGGGGAAGTTAAGGCAAAAATTAAAATTTCACCAGTTGTAGTCTTCGGGGTGCTGAGTCGAATGGTCTTGGTCCGAGAAAGCTGAGACGCTCCCTTCCTACTTGAATCCCAATCGAACTCGCGCACTTCCACCGAAACTGGGTGACTGCGCCCTACGAGATGGGGATTTGTATGCAAAATGTCACTAAAAGCGCCATTTCGTTCTTATAAAAGCACGGATGACCGCCATTGGCCCATATGTTGTAGTCTTTTGGACGCTGAGTCGACTGGTTTTGGTCCGAAAAGGCTGCGATGCAGGGTTCGCCCCTAATTCCCAATCGAACATGGTTGAAGAAGCGGTCACGTGCTCCTGCGTACACCAGTCACCTGGTCACTGTGCCTGCAGGGTACAACTTACAGCCTGTTTTGACCTTTTTTGGGTGCAGTCCTGTCACTCGAGTTGAACCTTGGTGTGAAAGTTGTCGCCTGCTGGCGTGGTGACCAGGTGATTTTGGCACCCAGGAGCACGTGACCGCTTCTTCAACCATGTTCGATTGGGAATAAAGGAGGAACGCTGCATCGCAGCCTTTTCGGACCAAAACCAGTCGACTTAGCGTCCAAAAGACTACAACATATGGGCCAATCGCGGTCATCCGTGCTTTTATAAGAACGAAATGGCGCTTTTAGTGACATTTTGCATACAAATCCCCATCTCGTAGGGCGCAGTCACCCAGTTTCGGTGGAAGTGCGCGAGTTCGATTGGGATTCAAGTAGGAAGGGAGCGTCTCAGCTTTCTCGGACCAAGACCATTCGACTCAGCACCCCGAAGACTACAACTGGTGAAATTTTAATTTTTGCCTTAACTTCCCCTTTAATTATTTACCCCTCATCAGTTGAGCTCGGTTAGGCTGAGGAAGATTGTGTCTCAAGACTACAAGAGCACCACTTACATGTATATGTACATGTACTATCTGGTGCTCTCCAGGCACAAACATCACCAGGGATACAAACTTACTTTCTTTGCCCGCTGCTACCACTAGATATGGCATGTTCTGTATTTCTTTCCTTGGCGCTGATAGGTGGAATTCTCTGCCTGTCTCGTGTCGTCAGGTTGAGCATCTATCCGTTTTTGTTTCGCTCTGTAAAGAGCACTTAGGGTTCCCTGTAACAAGACGGCAACGTCTGTAGGGCCTTCCCTATCAAAATAATAAATTCTACTACTACTACTACTACTACTACTACAGAGACGCTCTGTTTCCAGCGCGACAAACACCTCGTGAACACCAGATGGTAGCGTGAGTCAGTGTCGATTTCAGCTCCAGCATAAAACCGGGATTCATGAGGTTATCATTCTGGAATTTGAAATACGGACTGTTTGTCGTGATAAATCTAATATTGACTTCGTACTTGGTCAGTATAGGAAATAAAACCTCGTAAAGGACCTAGGCTTCGCCTCGGTCTTTTACCAGGCTTTTATTTCCTATATTGACCTCGTACTCAATCAATATTAGATACGAAAAAGCTCTAACTCTGTTCCCTCCTCCATTCACTTCG